TTTTTGCCCTTAATAATGAAGATGTTTGGACTTATTTTGTTGTAAAATCCCAATAATTGACTCTCTACTCCAGGTTAGATTCCTTTCTTCTCTTTGCTGTTTCTGTTATGTTTATCATCTGTGTTAAGATAAGCAATAAAGAATAAATCACGCACACATTCAAAATGTAAACAGCAGTTGCAGTTGTATAAGAAACAAATGGTCTGAAACATTCTAAATTAAAATAAAAAGTGTGGGTAGACTTTTGGATGCTGTGTCATTCTCAACTAGATAATGGAGTCTTTGTTTCATAAATATATTCCATTCATTTCACATGCAGTGATCTCTGTCCCCAAAGGTAGAAATATTTGTATCCATGGATTTTAAGGCTTGTATTCTTTTTTTAAAAAAATTTTGTAACATCTATGCCCCTAATATTCCTGCTCCTGATTTTTTAAACTCTTGTCAACAGTAGCTCTGCTCTGTCAATAGCAAAATCCCAAATTTGACAGATAAATTTACTGTATAGCAATTCTTATCCTTTCTGGATTACATTTTCCTCTTGGGAATATAATGCACTATTATATTTTGTAAATGCAAAATTTAGGACTGTGTTTTGCCTTTTTGTACAAACACAGAAGTCTCTCTGATTTAAGCTTGTTCATACCAAATAACCTAAAATGCTCCAGTGGAAATACCAGCAGTATTTCTCAGCCCAACAGCTTTTCTGTTGTGTCTTCCCCACTGAGCAGGTGCTTCCCACAAGTTAATAGGCTAACTTACCACTTTTTTTTAAACTTATCACACCTGCATTTAGGAGACTTTGCTTAGGCCCTTTCGGCCTCTTAGGATCCATCCTGCATATATTTAACTATTAGAATTAAGCGTTACTATTGGGAATGGTCCTGTTGACTTCACATGTGACTGCTCATGGTGTTGAGAAGTATGCCTGGAAGTAACTTTTTACAGTGCCCTTAATATGAGTGTGTATCATGCCATTGATTTTTAAACAGAACTCCCTTCTGAGATTCAGAGTACTGCAAAATACTCAGTGGCATGATAAAGCCCATGTAGAACAATGCAAATTGCTGCTTATGCAGGTTCCTCCTATTTTCCTGCAGTTCATACTCCTTTTCCATTTTCTCCCACCTCTTTTATATAAGTCTCACAGAAGCCCTCATGTATGCATACAAATGCAGCAGCAGAATTGGAATACAAATTCTTAGGAAGTCCTAAGAGGAACAGCAAATACACGCCTTACTTATGGAAGGAGAATATTTCCCTTAATTTTTATGTTAATAATACAGTCAATTATGCCCTTAAGGCTCAGGTAGAGGATGTTTCATGTCTAGAGATTTTTTTAAATTATACAGATGCTGACATCTGCACCACTTTCTTAAATGTGGAATTTTTCTTCTCCTTTGTACTTTTTGGCTCAGTACATAAACGGATCCACAATGGTCTGATCTGATTAATCACAGATGTGAATTCTCTACAGACTACTTTTTTTTTTTTTTTTTTTTCTTTTATTCATGTTATCAGCTATCTATTTGTATTTTGTGATTTTACTATAGCTTGCATTGGGTTAAAAAAGCATGTGTAATAAGTTGGCTTAATACATAAGCCAGTGAAGAGAAGTCCATTATAAAAAGCCAGTACAGCAGATACCCAACATAAAAACTGCTAGTGAACTACCCATATAGACTAATATACAAATTGGCTGAAAGGCAGCCTTTCTTCACCAAAGGGCACATTTGCCTCTGTTGTGTGGTACAGAAAGGAGCCAGTGTAGGAGGGCGTGGCCATCCCTCCCTGTCAATCTCCAAGGGAGGCCACATCTCCTCCCCATCACACATTTAGAATGGTAATCTATAAAAGGGGAGAAATTAGCTGTCTCTAGAGCTCAGGCCCTCTGGCCTGGGCCTACCAGTTATCTGTCATCAGGGCTCAAGCCCTCAAGCAGGGCAAAGCACCCAAACAGTATAAGGGGCCCTCAGGCAGGACAGAGTAGTTTATAGTCCAGGAGCCCAGGCCCTTCAGCAGGGCCAGGCACCAAAAGTCTAAGGCTTCAGCCCTCAGGCAGGGCAGGGCAATACAGGGTCTAGTGTCCTAGCTCTGGAAGACAATAGACTAACATTGGCCTAAGGTGGGGAGGCTGCCACCCCAGGGGTGAGGTGGCAAGAGGTTAGGGGGACACAGGTCCACCCAACTCCACCAGGAACCAGCCCTGGATCCTAAGAGTGGCAGATTGTTCCACCACTGGGTCAACAGGGAATCCACCCACAACACAGTGGCCTGGATTCAGGCAGCAACACAGCCAGACTAGAGTAAGTTGTCCCTGGACTACTTTCTACCCTCCCCTCAGTGTGTACCTAGGTCCTGGGGTCACCCTCTGCCTCCCCAGGATATACCACCAGTGGCAGTTCAAGCAGCTCCTCAACATGAGGCATGTCTGGCAGCTGTGGTGAGTCCTGGGGACAGCAGAGATCTTCTGCAGGCTCCTGCTCTAGCAGCAGGTTGGAAGCATCTGTCTCCCTCAGTGGCTCCAGCCCAGCTGAGCTGCAGGACCCGCCTTTTGTACTTCCTGTTCCGCCCCTCTTCTTCTGGCGGGGCGGGCATGGCCTTTCTGCTTCCGCCCATCAGGGGGGTGTGCAGCCATCCCTCCCTGTCAATCTCCAAGGGAGGCCACTCCTCCTTGCTACAGCCAAATTGTGAGAAATTTGAGAAAATAGAGTCTAGGCCACAGACAGAGGAGAGAAAGCTCTATGGTAGCATCCCCCCACCTGCAATTGCTATGCAGAGTGAACTCTATGTGTCGAGGAGCTTGGTCAGCTGGAGAGTGCAGGAGTCAGGGAATAGCTCCTCACCATGCAGGTTCTCCCAGGACTGTTCCAGTTCCCACTTGAAGTCTGTCGCATTGACTTCAGAGGTAGCAGGATTGTGATCTCCAAGCAGCATAACTTGGGGTGTAATTTTCTTTACTACAAGTGCTCTGAAGAGCAGGAGTTCATCCTCTGTGACACTAACATACATTGGGCCACCCCATGTGCCAATACATGCCACCCGATGTGCCAAGACTACCCCTGCTTCTGTTTTCCCTGCCAGTTCAGGACTCCAGCACCCCGTCTTGCTGAGTCAGACACTCCTGTCTGGCTCTAACACAGACCAAGGATCTGGATCACTTGTCCCAAAGCTGCAAGGTTACCCAAAAACAGCTCACAGGAGTGTGCTTGTCTTTAGCACTCAGATGCCCAACTCCCAATGGGGTCTAAACCCAGATAAATCCGTTTTACCCTGCATAAAGCTTATGCAGGGCAAACTCATAAATTGTTCGCCCTCTATAACACTGATAGAGAGATATGCACAGCTGTTTGCTCCCCCAGGTATTAATACATACTCTGAGTAAATTACTAAATAAAAAGTGATTTTATTAAATAGGGATTGGGAATGGCTGAGCCATTACAAACATTGAATCTATCTCCCCTTGTAAGTATTCTCACACTTGCTTCTTATCAAACTGTCTGTACTTGGCTATCTTGATTATCACTTCAAAAGTTTTTTTTCTCTTACTTAATTGGCCTCTCAGAGTTGGTAAGACAACTCCCACCTGTTCATGCTCTCTGTATGTGTGTATATATATCTCCTCGATATGTTTCACTCAATATGCATCCGAAGAAGTGGGTTGTAGCCCACGAAAGCTTATGCTCTAATAAATTTGTTAGTCTCTAAGGTGCCACAAGTACTCCTGTTCTTTTAACATACATTGGGATCACAGGCTAGCTAGAGGCAACTGGACAACTTTGCAAGCCATTGCTGAGAAATGAGGGCCTGAGGGGCATGCAGGTACCAATGGACCCTGAACATGACATGAGACCAGTGGAATCATTAAAGACACAATTAGCAGGCCACCATAAAAAAGTGTGGCTATAACCCTTCCTTTTCAGCCCCTCTCCCAGTCTACTGTGCCAAGAGAGAATGGGGCAGGGACTCTCAAAAGATGCCCTACTCTGAAGACGAGCACTACATGCTAAAGCCTGCTAGATCCTGCTTTTCTTTTGCTTAAAATAATTATAATTTTCAAACCTCAGTGCTATTGGGAGGAAGGGACGGGGAAGGATTGGGAAGGATGAGCGAGAGGATTAGGGTGGACAGGGAGGCTGGAGAGGGCCCAGTGATGGGGGGCAGGTTGGGATGGATTGAAGGGAATGCTGGGGGCTAAGGGCTCAGGGAGAGGGTGTGGGTGGACTGGGGAGAGATTGAGGAGGAAGTGGGGGCTGAAGGTCCCCACTGATCCAGGCTGGGAGTGGGGGGATTGGTAAGGACAAGGGGGTTAGGGTAGATGGTGCGGCTGGAGAGGGCCCAGGGCTGGGGAGGCTGGCTGGGATGGATCAAAGGGGATGTCGGGGGGCCTATGGCTGAGAGAGAGGGTGTGGGTGGACTGGGGAGGAGTTGGGGAGTGAGGGGGGCTGAAGGATCCTCACGGATGCAGGGAGGGATTGGGGAGGATGGGCAGGGATGAGAGAGAAGGTTAGGGTGGATGGGGGGGGCTACAATTGGGGTTATACATTTTAGTATCTGAAGAAACATGCCTACTAACTCCATGAAAGCCTCAGTGATATTGGTCTAAATGTTTTGCCACCAGTGACTTGAATAACACCCTTCAACCTCTAACAACACTTCTTTCATCTACTGCCTACAAGTGATGCAGTAAGATCGCTAAAATGTATATTGTTATTGTGAACGGTGAAAAGGAGCAACTGGATGTGTAGGGTTTCTTTCCAGAAAGCTGTTGTAGATACCACCAGAAGGTTTGTCCTTACTTTTTATAAACACACTTCTTACTTTGAGTTAAGCTCTCATGTCTTTTTGCCTAACATGACTGACTTCGATTCAAATATATGCATATAAGCTTTAAAAGGTTTTGAGACACTCCTCTGAGTAAGATTTCTTATTAGTGCTTTTCAAATCTGTAAAATATTCAGTCAGGTCAAACCTGCTAATCTTGCTTTTTCCCTTCCCAGTGCCTAATTCCACTTGTAACTGCTTTGATGGTGCTGTTCCACAGGCTTACAGAACATCACTAGGAAAACAAGTCTGTTTTGTTGCTACTGTTCGACTGGCAACACCTCAGTTTTTAAAGGTAAGTGCATGTAATGGAGTACATTAGTCTTAGAAGTACTGTATATTCTTTCAATCTCTGTACATGCAAAATTCCAAATTTTACTATCAGAGTTGATCAGAATATAGAGACTTCACAATCATGAATCAAAATCCAGTATAGAATCATAGAATATCAGGGTTGGAAGGGACCTCAAGAGGTCATCTAGTCCAACCCCCTGCTCAAAGCAGGACCAACACCAACTAAATCATCCCAGCCGGGGCTTTGTCAAACGTGACCTTAAAAACTTCTAAGGATGGAGATTCAACCACCTCCCTAGGTAACCCATTCCAGTGCTTCACCACCCTCCTAGTGAAATAGTATTTCCTAATATCCAACCTAAAGATTTCCCACTGCAACTTGAGACCATTACTCCTTGTTCTGTCATCTCGTACCACTGAGAACAGTCTAGATCCATCCTCTTTGGAATCCCCTTTCAGGTAGTTGAAAGCAGCTATCAAATCCCCCCTCATTCTTCTCTTCTGCAGACTAAACAATCCCAGTTCTCTCAGCCTCTCCTCAAAAGTCATATGCTCCAGCCCCCTAATAATTTTTGTTGCCCTCCACTGGACTCTCTCCAATTTTTCCACATCCTTCTTGTAGTGTGGGGCCCAAAACTGGACACAGTACTCCAGTGAGTATACACTATATACAGTGAGTAGGGTTATTGGTCTGTTGCCGGGTTGATGGAAATGGTGATATATCTATTTCTTTATACTGGGAAATGCAATCAGGGGATGCCACTTGGGTGTTAGGATGCCTAGTGTGGCATTCCTTAGCTGTATTTTCCCAACACTGGGATGGAGCAGCAGAGTAGAGATGCTGACACCATGCCCTCAGTTGGCTAGATAGGTGCATTAAAATGACCCTTCCCACTCTTCTCCCATCATGACACTAGGAAATTCACTTTTTGAGGACGGGACACTGCATTCAGCCTAGCACCAGTCACTGCTGTTCTTTAGTTGACAAATGTAAGCTGCTGTATCGGCTGTCCTATCCTCTGAGGTTAAGAAATCTAATTGAGACAAATCTCATTTGACAGCATTGGTCGCTCAACCTCACTCCAATACTGCACAGGGATTTTTAAAGGCATTCTTGACTGATTCACAGCCCTGACTGTACAGTCTCCTCTGGAAAAGCAAGAATACTTCTCATAAACCGCAATAGTAGTATTCTTACTAATAGTTCTCTGAATTTCCTTTCCTTTGTGTAGTTAAAACTCAACGTTAATGTTGCATTAACATAAACTGCCAATGATAATAAGTGGCTGTGTGTTGTAAGTGACCTGGAAACGGCTCGGGGAGCCAGGAACTGCTGAATACAAATCTTGGCTCCTCAATTTACTTGCTATGACCTGGGACAAGTCATTTAACATCTGTGTCTCAATTTCCCACTCTAAAATACTGATCTTTCTGATTGTCTGAGCAAAGCGATGTCTAGCACTCTGCTCTCTCTCTGTTTGTCTGTAACATGATAACATTTAAATGCCACATCTGATCAATGGGAGTGGGCACAAAGGAGAAGAATGGGAGCACACAGACATGGGAGACATCCCCTTCCAGGCATGGGGGTGTGGATTGCAAGGAAGGAGATGAGAGGGTGAACACAGAGAACTTGTGGGGTTGAATGGAAGAATGCAAGGAGGCCCTAGTGTGTGCAGTGAGGTCTGCCTAGAGATGCAACAAAGTGTGCAACCCTCTAGTATATTATTATTGCCATCATCGCTCTGGGTCAGGGATTTTATTTTTTCACAAAGAGGCCCCAGTCCTACCTACCATAATATGTTTACTAATTATTAATATCACTTGCTCCTGTAGGCGTTGGGAGGCTTAATGAATTAGGGCCAGGTTGTTCCTGGCTCTGGTATGAATGCATGTAGGAGTGGGACGTGAGAACAAGGTGAAAGGAACCTACCTCTTTATGCCCCTGTACAAAGGCTGGGTAGAGTTTCAGTCCTTGCACTCAGGACACCCAAGGACTATGCTTCCAGGTAGCATGCTCCAGTGGTTAGCATGTGGGCATGGGACTTAGGATACCCAGATTCAGTTCCCTGTTCTGCCACAGACTTCCTGTGTCACCTTGCACAAGTCATATACTCTCTCTTTTCCTTCAGTTCCTTAGCTGAAAAATGGGCATAATAGTATTTCCCTATCCCACAGGGATGCTGTGAGGATGAATGTATTAAAGCATTGCATAGTGCTCAGATACAGTGGTAATATAGGAGGCCACATGTGTACCTCAGATTGATCCACAGAGCTGTGCTGCCCCTTCTCACACAGGCCAGTGGTGTTGAATTTCTACAGGAGGAGAGAGCACAGGTTCAAGGGTGCAACAGCAGCTAAGGGCTCCTGGAGGCAACGTGCCTGCTAAAAGCACAATGCTTCTTAGGGTGTGTCTGCACTGCAGTTAGGCACCTGCGGCTGGCCCATGCCAACTGACTCAGGCTCATGGGGATCAGGCTATGGGGCTGTTTAATTGCAGTGTAGATGTTCGGATGCAAGGTGGGAGGGTCCCAGAGCTTGGGCTGCAGCTTGAGCCTGAATGTCTGCACTACAATTAAACAGCCCTTTAGCCCAAGCCCCTCAGCCCAAGTCAGCTGGCATGGGCCAGCTGCGGGTCTCTAATTGCAGGGTAGGCATACCTTCTGAGTTCCTGCCTGGGTTGTGCACTGTCCTCTAATGTGGGCTCTTACAATGCAGAAGTTGTGCTCTTGATATCTGTAGAGTGCTTTAAAAACATAACATCCTATATACTGTAAGAAATAATAATGATTATTAACTTGGCATGTATTGTAGAGTATTCTTTTCTTACCCTATGCAATAATGTTAGTATCAGTTTGTATTAACATTAGATTTCTATTCAATATTACTGGTTGACATCTGTACTTTCCATTTGATTATATTCCTCATACCTGCTGTGTATTCCTATTTAACAAGAAACAGATGAAGCTGAGAGATAAAGTTAACAATCTTAGTAAACAGATCTTCTTCCCAATGCAGGAAATGTGCATAGTTGAAGAACCTTTAGAGGAATTCACTTCAAGACATAGTCTGGAATGGAAATTTTTATTTCTGGATCACAGGTTTGTGAGCAGAAAAACATACTTGGTTTTGTTTGTATCTATTTACTGCTATTTTCATTAGCTAGATTCTGTCAAATAATATTATGCTTCACATCAAAATAATTTGAAGAGCCTGGTTATCAGCCCTGTTATGACTAAAATTGCTACAAAAGCTGATGTTTGATTTCACTGATTCTGGAGCTGGCTGATTTTGTCTGCATTTATTTTTTCATCAATCTTTATTACACAACTACTGTGTATTAAAAATGTTTTTTTTCCTGAGAGTATTTTGATTAGCCAGTCCTTATCTGTATTAAAATGGCAGTAGGCTATGAGTCTAAGAACAACAATTTCCAACTAGTATACAGCTAATTGGTTACTCCAGAAATCAGAGGTAATAAATCCAAAAAGTCAGGAGGAGGATAGAGTTTTTTGTGTGTGTGTAACCTGTGCATTGTAGAAAAATGTGCCATGAAAATATTACTTTCCAAATTCAGCCATGTGTGCAATTCCCATTGGGCCAGTTCTTGAGGATCATGGAGGGCAGCTTTGTGCTGGTTTGACCCATCTTGGGGCAGTCGGGCTGGCAAGGTTAGAGGTGTGAATTGGCTGCTCAGATGCTCCAAGTTCAGGTCCTGCAGAGGCCCACAATGAAAAGAAGCTTATGCGTGTTATCTCCCTGTCTAGTCCTCTGGTCTCAGTGGGTACTCTTCGCCATGTGGGAGCCATAGAAGCTGCTGTTGCCTAGAACAGTTGTGGTTCTAATGAAGTCACTTGCCCCAGGGGAGAAACAGGGAAAGGCCTGAGAACGGGGGGGTGCTCCTCAAAGCAGGTTCTTGAGAGGATATTGGGCATTCCTTGGGGGCTCATTTCCCTGTTACCTTTTTCCTGCAAGGGAGATCTCTGTCTTACGGGTCTATGACCTCTCTAGCTGGCTGGCAACTTTGTTCAAGAGCTGCTAGCTAGCTCTGGCACTGGGTGGGGAGAGATATTGCTCAGCTCCTTTGCTGTCTCTCCAGGTCTAACTCAGCCAAGGAGACTCTGCCTCCCCACAACAGGGACATCAGGGTGACACCACGTTACTCCTGTCACCATTCCTTGGTGACACCACTGCCATGTAAGACAGTTGGATGGGGACTGAAGTCACAGGCAGTGCCTTGGGGGGAAGGAATTACTATAGATCAGTGCCATGGTTGCTCTCCAGTGGGACCTCCTCTCTCAGGATGCCCGTGCCACTCTGCAGGTGTGGAACCCAGCCAGGGAGCTGAGTTACAGCTGGGCTCCCTGCCCATAGAGCAGAGAAGTCAGGATTTGGCCCATTGATTTCAGTGGGAGTTACGCATGTGTAAGTGAGAGCAGAATTTGGCCCAACTGACTTTCTGAATTTCCTATTTAACAGAGGAAAAGTTGCTGTGTGTTTCATTGTTTTGATGAAATAATTTGTACTGTGCCCATATGCAGAGCGCCGCCTATTATAGGATACTTGCCTTTTGAAGTGCTGGGTACTTCTGGCTATGATTATTACCACATAGATGACCTAGAACTCTTAGCAAGGTGCCATGAACACTGTAAGTATTGCATAATGTAAGCTCATATGAATTCATTGGCATGCCTGTTCTCAGTAAAATGCAGCTTCAGTTAAGATAGGTGTAAACTTGGCGGGCCAGGTTCTTACCTCTGGTACACTGCTATAAACCTGTGAACTGACTTTAGTGGACTTGTTTCAGATTGACTGTGCGGTAGCTGATAAGACTTTGGCCTAGAGTTCTTTAGCACTTAGAAGGCCAGATCCTGCTTTTGTTATTCACACAAGTAGTGCCAATGACAAGCAGTCAAGTGGACTCATTGCGTGAGTGAGGCAACCAGGATTTGAGCTACATTCTGTTATTCCAGTAAACTCACACATCTTGGAGAAGGTCACACTTTGTAAACTTTTTGCAGATTGTTATCCCTGGTGTTGTTCAATATATATTTAAAATCAGGGATTATTTAAATGTATTCTATTAGGATTTAAAAAAAAAACACCATTTGCTAAGTGAAGAAATATAAAAATCAAGCAATCTTATTCAAATAATGCTTATAGCATTGATGGTAATGTCTCAGTCTTATTACTCCGCTATGGAGTGAACACCTTCAGTCAAAATTAGTTTTGGGATTTTGACATTAAAATAGAAGGCTAAATGCATTGAAGTGTGAGACCCTTGATGTTAATAAAACTAAAGCAGGGGTGAATTTAGCCCAGGAGGGTTTAAAACATTCAGGACAAGTGTAAACTACAAAATTAAGTTGACCTAAATTACATCAACGTACAATCACCACAGTAATTAAATCGCTTTTGCGTATCCACACTAAACTCCTTGTGTCGGCGGTGTGCGCCCTCACCAGGAGCACCTGCACTGATTTAACTGCCAGTGAGGGGCATTGTGGGACAGCTTCTGAAAGGCAGCAACAATCGATGTAAGGAACGCAGTCTCTAGTCTACACTGACATTGCATCGACCTAGCTACATCAACCTAAGCGCTACGCCTCTCACGGAGGTGGAGTTATTAAGTTGGTGTAGTGGGCGAGTTACATCAGTGGGAGCTACATTTTAGGGTAGACACTTACAGAGTTAGGTTAACGTAACAAGCTGCCTTGCCTCGACCTAACTCTATAGTGTAGGCCAGGCCTCGGTCATGTCATCTCTGAAATCTTGACTGGCTGGGGAATTCCATTCAGTTTCAAACGATTTTCGTCTATGCCTTATGTTATCTCAGTGTATAGACTTAAGGCCAAATTTTGCACTGATTTGAACTATGTCATAGAAGCCAGTGGATTTGCACAGGGTGTAAGTCTGCACAGGATTTAGTCCACCTTTTAAGGCGTTCATATGCTGTATTTCTCTGCTATGGAACTCAGGCCTTTCACATACAGTATTATAGTCTTAGAAATCAATGCCAGGTGCTTATTTGGCTAATTTGTGACCGGCACTTAGAACACAGAAAGAGTTATATATAAGTTATAGTTATTAATACATTAATACATGGACATAGTTAGCATTCATCATATTTGTGCTATTTATAAGTATACTGTTGTATATTTAAATTTTCAGAAAGGGATACCTGGTGACATACATGATATGTGCTTTTACCGTAAATCTCAGAGAGATTTCTTATGAAACTTTTTAAAAGATATTTTTCACATTTTAAAATTTGTTATATGCAGTGTCCATTTTCTACTAACAGTGATGCAGTTTGGCAAGGGAAAGTCTTGTTGTTACCGGTTTCTGACCAAAGGACAGCAGTGGATCTGGCTGCAGACCCATTACTATATCACCTACCATCAGTGGAACTCCAAGCCAGAGTTCATTGTATGCACACACACCGTAGTAAGGTAGGGAAAAGATGTAATTATATTTGTCACCATTGTAATCAAGTCAGACTCTAGGGACCTAAAAGCACAAGAACATATGGACATTTTAATGATTTCATAAAGTCCCCTTAAGAGTCTTTCACATAACAAAAATGAAGTCTGAATTCTGTAGAGAAAATAAGCTTCATTAAACAAATATGATCAGGTTAAGTCTGTCTTCATGCTGCATGTACCATATGAGAACAAAATTTATTTGTCAGTCAGACTCTTAAAATCAGGGGCCAGATTATTGGTTGCATTTGGCCCCCTTTGTGCCAATCCTACGATACTTCACGGCCCCTTTCTATCACATTACAACTACTGGAGAATCCCCTCTTCTAGGTGTAACCCACACACCTTCTGGGTGTGGTGTTCTGTCCCATCTACTGGCACTGAGGCCAAGAAAGAGAGAGAGATTAATGAGTTTGCTCTACAGCCTTAGCTAACAGCCATGTGGTTTTTAGCTCATGCAGTAGACTCTCATGCACTAAGCTCCAGATACTCCAGGTTCGATCCCAACGACTGGGGTCTGTCACTGTTATAAGTGGGGGCTCATCTGGGAGTCTCTGAAGCTTGGGATGTGCTTCCTTAGCTAGGGGAAGTATGTAACCACACACCTCCTGGGTGTGGTGCTCTGTCCCATCTAGTGCCATGGGGAGGGAGGGAGAGAGATTGATTTGCTTTACAGTCATATGGCTTTTGGCTCATGCACTAAGATCCAGAGGCCCCAGGTTCGATCCCGCCCGCTGACAACTGTGGTCTGTCGGTGTTACATAGGGATCATCCATGCATGGTGTATGGCAAATGTAATGGCAGTAGGCCGCCTCTCTAACAACATCTGACACAAGCACCAAGGCTAAAGAAAAGAGAGTGAGGCCACAATATTGATACATTCCAGCTGTTCTTGGCTGGGGGAGTGGCCCCTTGGGGCCAGGGGTGACTAGGAGTAGGTTAAAGCAGTTGACCAGCTTGTAAATAGGGGAATTGCAAATTTGGCTTAAAGCTACCTTTCATCCCCATCCCCTCTGCTCAGCTGGAACAGAGAATCAGGACATTCAACTGTATAAAATAGTACAATACAGCTTTTGTGTTGTGTTAATGCAGTGTAGGTGACAGGGTATTTCCAGTGTTGCTTTTGAAACAGACCCCAATAAGGAGGAGGCATCACTTCCAGCTTCCTACACAGTGTTAACATAAAGAACAAGAAAATTAAAAAGCTTCAAGCATATTTCAGAGTAAATAAAATTCTGATGTTTTGGGGACTTAGACAATCACAAGCCACTGAGGTCCTGATTCTGTCCCCTGTTCCAGCCCCGACACCCCACTCCAGGAGCATAAAGAGGTCACAGTAGGCTAGGCAGGGGAATCCTAGGGCTGCTGTAAGTGTCCCGATGCTGCCCAGGCCCCGTAGGATCCAGTGTAAGGGGTGTGCTAGGAGCAGTTGTAGCACTCAGTGCAATGGGGTTGTAGGGCTGCAGAGCAGCCGATAGACAGCCTGCTTAAGAGTGGGGTGGGGTGGAAGTGAGTGATGAAGGTTTATGTGGCAGTGGGGGAACAGGCTTAACTTAACGCTTAATTTTCATTTCCTGACATTCTAATATTTGGGTTTTTTTTAAAGTGTGGAACTTTTGTAAAGAAATTGTAACATTGTTTTGGGTTGGACTCAGGGCCGGTGCAAGGAAGTTTCGCGCCCTAGGTGAAACTTCCACCTTGCGCCCCCCCAGCCCTGCGGCAGCTCCCCGCCCTGAGGCGCCGCCCCCACGTCAGCTCCCCCCCCGCCCTGCGGCACCCCGCAGCAGCTCCCCCCCCCCCCAGCTCACCTCTGCTCCGCCTCCTCCCCGAGCACACCGCCCCCGCTCTAATTCTCCTCCCCTCCCAGGCTTGTGGTGCCAAACAGCTGATTGGTGCCGCAAGCCTGGGAGGCGGGAGAAGTGGAGCGGCGACCACGCGCTCGGGGAGGGGGCGTAGGAACGCTGTAAAAAAAATTGGGGGCACCGCTTTTTGGCGCCCCCAAATCTTAGTGCCCTAGGCAATCGCCTAGTTTGCCTAAATGGTAGCACCGGCCCTTGTTGGACTCCAACAAAACACACTTTCAGCCTTAACGCTTTTTTAACAAATGTTTTGTTTGTGAATGGATATATAGAGGGGGTTGAGCAGAAATTGAAAATAAAAACACAGTCCTTCAAATCATATGCATTAAATGTGACTTGATTTCAGTTATCACGTAATGATTTACAACATATAATGTTGCTCCGTTTGTTTAAAATGCATTGTATAAAATAAAATAATGAAATGTTACTCATGTAGAATTACATTTTTCAATTAGTTATGCAGATGTTCGAGTGGAAAGGAGACAAGAACTGGCCTTGGAAGCTGCACCCTCACAAGTTGTTTCTTCAGCACTAAAGGTATAACCAGATATGTTTTTCATAAACATGCAGTAATTGTGAGCCATTGTGTTAACATTTCCAAAGATCTAGTAGCAATGCTGATCTAGACATATTACCTGAATTTTATACTCCAGAATTCATTGAGCTCTTGAACAATTATTTAAGTGAACTGGAGATGAGCATAAAAGGACAAACTTAGAGATCAGAGAGTGGTGAAACACAAAGCCCGGGCATTGGCATTGTAAGCTTTACCATGCTTCCTTGCCAACATGCTACGATTTGACCTAGAGAGACCATTTCTAAGAGTGAGATTCCTTTTGGAACAGTCATCTTGAGATTGTTTTTCATGCACAAGAATACTGCGTCCTGCATATGAATGCAGAGTGTACAAAAGTTATTTATTAGCAGTACCCTGTCACGATAATACCTGAGTCTTTCATGTAATATATCACAAAAAGCATCTGAAATCTCCCTAGATCAACACATGGTGATACCAAGATAAGCCAATTTTAGGAGGAAAAATTCACTCCTGTGTTGACTGGTCTGCCAAATTCCTGCCTAGAGTGGATCAAAGAGTCACATGTATTACAACCTGAAAAACAGGCTTTAAATGAAATTGCCAACTCATCCTTAACTACACACTGACATGCATATCTCTGAACCTGTCCAAAACGTACTATCTGAAGAACAAAGGGTCCAATTTAGTGCATTGCTGAGTGGTTCTGGGTGTTGTCACTCACCACTGAAGGAAGAAAGAGATTCTGCAACTCAAAGGACTGGACTAAAATTGAATAGGGCAATAGCCTGCAAGGTCTTTCCACAACAGGAAAAGCTCATTCATATGCAATTGGAAGGTACAGCAGAAGTAGATGTCATAGACATTCTGGCCCAGGTCCTCTGCTGCTGTAGATTGCAATAGCTCCATGGAAGTCAGTTTATACCAGCTGAAGATCTGACCCTACAAGTACTGTTAGATACATGACAGAACACCATACCCTGTCAGATGTAATATGATGGGGTTTTTTTTAATTTTAGGACAGTGGCTTAGACTTGAATGCCGAACTGCACTTTAATGCGCTTGAAATAGGCGTCTCAGTTCTCAACACTAGTCGGACACCCTCTGTATCATCTAGAAGCTCACGCAAATCTTCCAACACTCCCATGTCTGACCCTGCATGTAAGTAATGTTATTATGGAGCTACTGTATCAATACTTTATTTTAAAATTAGCTAAATTACCCCAATTATCATTCCTGGTGGTATAGTAGTTACTGGTGAGATGCTGAAGGTGCTGATGACATGTCCATTAATTCCATCGCCCATGGACGGGTATGTATTTAATTGAAGGTGGTAAAATGGGCTGATGTAATCATCCATGTCTTTGGAATAAAGGAGGCTAGTTATGAAGCCTGTTGCTGTTGAGTTCTATGGAGATGAAATTTACAGTTGCTAGGCACAGTTCTAAGCTATAATATTATATTGTGTTGGAGGTTAGTAAGGTCATCAGCTGGAAAGTTCTGAAACTCAAGGCTAAATTCAGAAGTCATGCATAAGGTTTTAGTAAAGCCCAATGGTTCTCAACCTATTTACTATTGTGGGCACATGCGGCCTACAATGTGTTATGTGAGTCGTATCCAATACTACCTGTATAGCCCTTAGGATGTCTCATGGGCCGCAGCTGTGTGCTGATTGGGTCACAAGCAGCCCACGGGCCACAGTTTCAGAACCACTGGTACAACCAAATGCACGGTGATACACGTAGGAACAAAGAATGCAGGTCACACTGACAGGGTGGGGGACTGCATTCTCGAAGCCATGATTCTGAAAGGATTTAAGGGTCATGATCGCTATCCAACTGAATACAAACTCCCAGTGAAATGCTGTGGCTGACAGCGTTAATACAGTTTTTGGAAGTACAAATGGAATTCTGAGTAGGAGTAGGGAGGTGGTATTACCTCTGCATAAGGCATTGGTAAGACCATATCCCCATTACTGTGTCCAGGTGTGGTGTTTGCACTTCAAAAAAGAATGTTGAAAAGTTGGAAGAGGTTCAGAAAAGAGCTACAAGAACGATTGAAGGTCTGGAAAACATCCCTTACAGTGAAAGACTTTAAAAGCTCAATCTGTTTAGCTTGTCAAGGAGAAACTAAGAAGTGAATTGATCATGGGGTGTGAGTACCTATAGAGGGAGAACAATTCTGATAGAGGGCTCTTTAATCTAACAGGACAAAGGTATAATGAGCTCTAATGACAGGAAATTAGAGCTAAATAAATATAGACTAGAAATAAAGTACAGATTTTTGTTAAGGTAGTCAACCATTGAAACAACTGACTCATGCATGTGGTGTATTCACCATCACTTGAAGTCTTTAAACCTAGATTGGCTATCTTTCTAAAAGAGATGCTCTAGCTCCAACAGAAGTTATGGGCTTGATGCAGGAATTATTAGATGAAATTCAATCACCTGTGTTATGCAGGAGGTCAAACTAGAGGATCATAATGTTCCCTCCTGACCTTAAAATCTATGAAGTGGTGTAAGTTAGACTCCCATACATGCACTCAGACCCAGGGCCGGCTCCAGCATTTTTGCCGCCCCAAGCAGCGGAAAGAAAAAAAAAAAAAGGAAAACCCGATTGAGCCCCCGCCGAAGTGCCACCGAAGAGGAAGAGACAGCGTGAAGGACCCACCGCCAAATTGCCGCCGAAGACCTGGACGTGCCGCTCCAACAACTGACGGACTACCACCTCTTTCTATTGGCCGCCCCAGGCACCTGCTTCCTTCACTGGTGCCTGGAGCTGGCCCTGCTCAGACCCCATACCTGCACACACTTATGTATCCCATAAACTCCTGAGGCAGAACCCAAGGGGTGGCACAAAGGTGCCTTTAAATGCTAGGTTTGTGTTCTCCAGATTTGAGGGCATCATTTAGACCAGGGATTCCCAAACTGTGGGCCATGGACCAAAGATGGGCCACGACACAGTCCCAGGTGCCCCCCTAAACTGTATATATTGGTGGACTGGAGGCCAGCGATGGCCCCCACCCAGGGCTGGAGGAGCCCAGCATCTTCGGTGGGTGGCAGAGGGCAAACAGAGCCACCGGGTGATGGGCGCAGGGTGAGGAGAAGGGGCTGGCCCTGAGAGGCAGCAGCTCCCAGGGCAGCTGGAGGAGGCTGGATTGTTCGTGGCCATTCCTGCTCCGAGCCACTGCACCCCATGATCCATGGCTGTTGGGCCCCCTGGGGTATTGGCCCTGTGCCTACCCCCATCCCCACAAGACCAGGGCTTGGCGGTGTTGCTCTGTTTCCACCTGGACAATGCTGTGATCTGGATTGTCAGGTGATGGCCGGGCCTGGCCCGAGCGCCTTCCTTTGCCTGGCACTGGTGGCCCCTGAGCCCTTCCCTCATTCCCAGGCAGGGAGTGTCTGTGAGAGCACCTGCCTTGCCCCTTCCCCCTCTCCCTGGCTCTGGCCCCTGCTGAGGCGAGGGGCCGTGCATGTCCTGCGGTGCCCCTCTCCCTGACAGATGCATGTTAACAGTGGGCCACAGTGCCTATTGCAGCTGCACAGGTGGGCCTCAGGGGAAAAAAGTGGGATAACTCCTGAGTTAGAGCAGCATCAGGCCACTCTGACTTCGGTCAGCAGTAACAGCCCATGGGTGACGTTCTGATGGCCCAGGATCACTGGAGCTGAAGGCCCTTTAGCCGTGCCCCTGACACACCTGGTAAACAACCTCCTGTCATGTGGGCTGGAACAGAGTGCCATAGAACCAGCTATGCACCAGCTATGCGAATTCTACTCCAGCCAGAGATTCACCTATGAAAGAGGAACCCTCACCTGCCCTTTTGGGACCCTTTGCTGCACTGGGTGGATCACAGGCTGAGTCTGGTCCAATATATACCTTAACATTTGTGTGGATCCTCATTATCAGCTGTCAACTGTCTTTGGAGTCATTGGTTCCCCTTGACTCCAGCTGGAGTTTGATCAGACCCTATATTCATGGGCAGTGGGTATAATGGTGCTGCTGTGGCCGCCGGAGCCCCAGTTGCGGGATTTTGGGGGGAAGTTTTTTTTACTTATTATGCCCCATGCGGCTGAGGAAACGGTATGTGATATCCAGCTTCCCAGGTTCATCAGTAATCTCCCTGGACTCCGGCCGAGGGGGTCGGGGTGCTTGGGCCTCCGGGCAGCCTGGGGCTCCTCCGGCCCGGGGGCAGGGTGCTCGGGGCTCCAGCTGCGGGAGGGGGGAGGTGTGGGCGGAAGGGGCGGAGCCGGGGCTAGCCTCCCTGAATTGGGGCTCCACCTGCCGCCCATGCCTATATTATTACCAACCATATCTCATCATTCTAATTTTATATGGTGATTATTCTTAAATACGAACAAAAAATTCTCTTACAGCCACACCAACAAAACTGATCACAGAGTCTAACGTTCCCTCCTTGCAAAGAACACCCAGCATACAGCAGGATTCATCCATGCAAAGACTCAGTCAACCTGTCACTATTCAGGTAGGTTTACAAATGGGCATCAAAATAAATGGAATTTACAAGGAGTTAGATAAAAAGTCACATGTAAAATATGCCACAGGTTCAATTCAACAAAGAAAGAAAGAAAGAGCTATGCAAAGGCAGTCACATTAGGAGAAGACCTGAGATTTAAAGTAGCCATGCATATGAATAAAGTTTGTTTTATTTTTTTTAAACCTAGGCGTCTTTGCCTTCTCAGCCATCACGTGAGCTTCTCCCACAGCAGCTGCTGGCCCAAGCAGCTTTGCAAAATCAGCCTACATCTATGGCACAGGTTAGTTGGGGGCTTGAAACTGGAATAGGTTACTTAACCATCTCATGATGTTTTCCCACTTCACCAACCAAAGCAAAGAATATAGGGACCCTCTCAAGTAATTTTGTCCTAAAACTACACAGGCTATAAAACTTATAGTGGGAATGTCCTCTGGATACTAAACACACACACACTTAAATCTACCAATCTGTTGCTGAGAATCTTTTTAAAAAACAACAAAACATTAATCTCTCTTTTACAAAGACCCTTAATATTTGTTTTGCTCTGATGATGCAGAGAGAACCAGCATCAAAGAAAACACAAATTCAACAAGTCCCATTCCCTGAGTTATGCCATATCAGTGTTGATGCACATGAGGGACTAACTCCTCCATTGGGATCCACCAACATGGATCCCAGAAGTGGGTTTGGTTTTTGCTCTGAATATCCAACTGGTCTAATAACAATACAGGTTTCCTTGGTACTTGATTAGAAGGAATAAAGAATTTCAATACTGTGTTTTCTCATAACATTGTTTCTGTCCTTCCACAGTTTCCCAGCGATGGAGCCTCTCCTGGCTCTGTCGCACACCTCTACTCCTTCTAAGAAGCATATGTTGTTCCCTTATAGCTTATGCACAGGAGGCTCTGGAGGACCACTGATTTAAAATAACAAAATCCCATTTCTCCTTTAAGTTTAATTTGCCTCCATGACTCCACACCAGCGTATAGTGAATCAGTAAATAACCCAATTTATCATCTCTTAGCATTAATTTTCTTTTGCAGATGTTCTTGTCTGCTAGTCTCAAATAAATTTTGAAACAAATTTATTTAATTTTATTTTTATATAAATTTGAGTATATTTCCCTCTTGAATTTCTGTATTCACATTTCTTCTCTGCCTTCAGAAGTGAATCTAGAGAGGAGATGCCTCCTTATTTGTTTCCCACCAGCCCCAGCTGTCCCACCTCATCTCATTGGGATCCCAATTCCATTCCTTTCCACTCCAGTTCAGAGTATAATCTATTCTGTTCTGTTCAGGTTCTTATACCATGCCCATCACCATAATATCTGAGCACTCTCCAGTCATGCCTTAAGCAATTTGACAGACAAATATTTGTTCTCTCATCCTCTCCCCACAGGAGAAGCATGTGCAGCGGAGTGTCACATTTTGCACTTACTGCTCAAACCCTCCCCTCCTCCTACCTCCACTTTCTCCACATAAGATCTCACCAAGAGAAAACTGACAAAATACAATGTGACCATCTACCTCCCCTCAGCTTGCCTTGCCTTCCCTTCCTACAACTCTCACCTCTCTTTCCCTGCCACAGATTGATAGGTCAGTTATTGGTTCAGTACCAGAATGCCTATGGACTGGCTGAAGTTTGATTAAGTGGAAGCAAACCTGTCTCAACACTGTTATCTATAGTCATCTTTTGGACAGCTAGGCTCAGCCAATCATTACAGTACCTCTGCAAAAGCCCAATGGACAGGACTTTTTCACTCATTAATGCTTTCAGTGAGGGCTGCAAATAGACCACGGCTAAGGTCAGGCTGTTGTCACTTTCACCCTACATAAGAGAGATCTCTAGGGAAAGGTAGCAAGGAGGATTAAGTTACAGAGAACTAAGGCCACTTGATCTTAAACGAGGTTATCCACGTGGGGGTTTAAGGCACTTTAACTTATGCACATTGATTCGCCTTAACTTTCCTTAGTGTCCCCACGTTACTGAAGACAATCCCTAAGAGTTAGTTATTTCTTGTCTTCCTGCATTCCTACAACATTTTACTCTATATCTGTTTCAGGAAGTCACACCTCTGCTAGAGGCAACAAAAACTTATGGTCTGGTTCTTCTTTACTCTAATTACCAAATTAAATGTCCATCCACTTTAAAATCTCTTTACACTGCCAGAACCATGGGCGGCGGGTGACTTGCTGGCTCAGGGAGGCTATCCCCCGGCCAGCCTTGCCCCCCTTCCCTTACCAGAGCCCAGACCCTCCTCCCAGCATGCCAGGCAGGTGGCACGCGGTATCCCCCTCCAACCTCTCCCCTCCCCTGAGCACAGGGCAGGCAGCCCACTCCCCCTGTGAGCGCCAGGGGGCTCCCCAGCGCTGGACGGCCCCAGCCACCCCAAGTCCCGGCCACACCCGCCCTAGCCCCAGCCTGCTTCCCTGAAGAGGAGTAGCCGGCCTGCCTGGGCTGGGCTTGGGCCAAGGGGGAAGGGCAAGCAGGAGGGGACCTTCTGGTGGAGCGTGGGTGGGGCCATGCTGGGCTGTTTGGGGAGGTATAGCCCCCCCCCAGCCTACGATACATGCCACCCATGGCCAGAACCTTAGTGTAAACTAGACTTGGGCTGCAAGGGCATAGGCACCGACTGTGTGGGTGCTCCGGGGCTCAAGCACACACGGAAAAAAATAGGGGGTGCTCAGCACCCATGAGCCATAGTGGTTCCTGACCCCCGTCCCCCCAGAGTTTCATACCTGAGGTCTGCTCACAGCACATGCCCTAGACCCAGACGGAGCTTGAAGCCTTGGCTACACTGGCGGTGTACAGCGCTGCAACTTGCTGCGCTCAGGGGTGTGAAAAAACACACCCCTGAGCACAGCGAGTACAGCGCTGTAAAGCGCCAGTGTAATCAGAGCCTGCAGCGCTGCACTCTCACTCGCAGCGTTGCAAGCTATTCCCCTCGGAGAGGTGGAGTACATACAGCGCTGCAAGAGCTCTCTCGCAGCGCTGGCGGCGCGACTACACTCGCGCTTCACAGCACTGTGAAGTCCCGAGTGTAGCCAAGGCCTCAGTGTGGAATGTGATGAGTTCTGTGCTGCTCTCAGCTTCCACCCTTGGGGCAGGGAGTTTGTTTATAAACAGAGGCAGGGTGATTAAGATAACAAAAGGCCTGTCATTAAATTAAATTAAGGATCATTAGATGATCCTGAAAGCATTGCCAGGCACTCCAGTTAAAAGATAGGAAACAAAGGTTAGGAATAAATGGTCCATTTTCAGAATGAAGAGAGGTAAGTAGTGGTGTCCCCCACGGGCCTGTACTGGGACCAGTGCTGCTCAACATATTCATAAATGATCTAGAAAAAGGGTTAAACAGTGAGGTGGCAAAATTTGCACAGAATACAAAATTAGTCAAGCTAGTTAAGTAGGGTTACCATATTTCAGCACTGAAAAAAGAGGACACTCCACGGGGGCCCTGGCCCTGCCCCAGCTCCACCCCTTCCCCACCCCCGTCCCCGCCCCTTTCCCAAAGTCCCTGCCCCAACTCTGCCCCCTCCTCTGAGCACCCTGCATTCCCCCTCCTCCCTCCCGCTCTGATCTTGGTTGGGGGTTGCTAAGTGCTTCCCTGCTCCCCACTCACCCTGCAGCCCCTGCACCCCTCCCGCCCCTGCAGCCTCTGTGACCCCTGCTCCCCACTTGCCCTGCAGCCCCTGCACCCTCCCGCTCCTGCAGCCTCTGAGACCCCTGCTCCCCACTCGCCCTGCAGCCCCTGCACCCCCCCGCCCCTGCAGCCTCTGCGCCCCCCGCCTGCCCTGCCCCTGCGCCCCCCTGCACCCCCGCCCCTGCAGCCTCTGCACCCCCCACCCCTGCAGCCTCTGAGACCCCTGCTCCCCACTTGCCCTGCAGCCCCTGCACCCCCCCGCCCCTGCAGCCTCTGACACCCCTGCTCCCCACTCGCCCTGCAGCCTCTGCGCCCCCCCTGCCCCTGGAGCCCCTGCAGCCTCTATGCCCCTGCCTGCCCTGCTCCTCCTCGCCCTGCAGCCTCTGCACCCCCCCGCCTGCCCTGCTTCCCCGCTTCCCCGGCAGCCTCTGCCTGGCGGGGGCTTCAGACGCTCAGCGGCGACCGGGGCGGTGCGGGTCCCTGCAGCCCTGGCCGCAGCCTCCTTCCTGCCACCGCCGAGCACGTTCCCCGGCCTGTTGTCCCCGCCGGAAACAGCTCACGCGGTGCCGGGTTCCAAGCCGTGCGGGGCAACGGGGCCACAGGAAGGGTCGGCTGGGCTGCGCTGCGGATGTAGCCGGGGCGGCTGGGCTGTGCTGCGGACCCGGCGGATCGTGCTGGGGCCGGGCGGACCCTGGCTTATGCCTCCCTATTTCCCCAGACATGTCCGGCTTTTTGGAAATTCCCCCTGGACGGGGATTTGAGCACCGAAAAGCCGGACATGTCCGGGGAAATCCGGACGTATGGTAACCCTAAGTTAAGTCCAAAGCTGACTACAAAGAGTTACAAAGGGATCTCATAAAACTGGGTGACTTGGCAACAAAATGGCAGATGAAATGCAATGTTAAATGCAAAGTAATGCACATGGCAAAATATAATCCCAACTACATATACAAAATGATGGGGTCTAAATTAGATGTTACCCGTCAAGAAAGAAAGAGTCATTGCAGTAGTCTGGAAGCACTATGCTTCAATAGTACTGCAAATTTATAAGAATCTTTCTCACTGTGCCTGTATAATCCGGAACTGTGGAACATTCATTCTCCAGCTTCAGAAGATTTAAAAATTATCTCCAGTCATCAATGGGACAGACACAACTGAATAATGTAGCTGTCCTTAATGTGCATCAAGACCATACTAGGCAACTAGATATAAATAAGATTCCTGATAGTTTCGTCTAGAAAGCATCAGTAAGACATAATGTCTTTAAACTGGAACGTTAATGAAGACAGCTTGTAGGTGATTGCAATGATTTTAATATACTGTAATTCATGATAATGTAATTATGTTGTTCATAAAAAATTAATCATTATTAAAATAGTAAAGATACCAGTGATAAACACATATTCAATAACTAGAATATGAAAGAAGTGTATAAATATGCTGAAAATAGCCTCCCCCCAAAACTGGCAGAGCCCCTTCCTCTCCCCCCCAAAACACACACACACCTCTTCAGAAGCACCCACTAGCAAAAACAAAAGTCAGCGCCTATCAGCAGTGCAAGTAGGCCGGTACGCTCCAGTACGCCATATCAGCAAGATATTTATAGCCGGAATGGCATACCGGAAAGACACAGCGGC